ACAAAAGTCGAGTACGGCCTAGTGCACTGAGGTAAAATATTATTTTAATAGTATTTAATTTACTGATTGCCAACACAATATTCTCAGTTGTTATAAACGTATTAACATACTATGATAATATATATTTTCTTTCTGTTTAGTTTTATTGAAACATAATTGTAAAAAGAAAAAAATAATATCTTACGACTTATCAGTTATCAGGTGTCGGAAAAAATATCCAAAGACTAGGAATAGTTGTAATAGTGTAGCAAATTTGCCTATCTAACACGCCGTGTTATCCAAATTTTAATTTATAGAAACTCATTAAAAAGTACTTACCGAATATTCAACACTGAGAAAAAATACCCTGATATAACAAAAGTTTGGTAAGTACCAATCACTCTGGATGAAAAAATTGGTAAAAGTGGACTGAATTTATGTCTAAGTGACTTTTCTGGTAGATGCGGGTGTCAGGAATTGCTTCGTGGACCGTGAATCGGGAGAAATCCAGTAGAAACGTCACCTAGCCTGTGTTTATTTAAACTCTACAGCAAAACTGTGTCAAACGTGACAGCGCTGTTTTTCTCATATGTCTGGTGTTTTTATTCACGCTTAAAATGTGTCTAATACGATTATTAGTATACGAAGTACACTGTACATCACTGTATACGGTTGAATTCAAAAACACAATTTGGTTTTACAGTCTCGCCGTAGTCTCATCGTGGTCTATTTCAGTAACACATCTGAATTCCTAGCAATAATCATTAATTGGAGTCTAAATTTTAGAGACTAAATAATATTACAGTAAATTGATGAATTATATTCTGGTTTGGTATTTGTTTAAGTTATTCATTTTGTACGGAAATATGTTACTCTAGAGTATCGCGCGATGACTGAGCAGATTATTGCTAGCACTTGATATATTTTATATGCGTAATAAATGAAAATTCTACTTGAGCTTTATTGTAAATACCTCTATACATTTTTACCCCATATTTTTATCCACAAAGCACAAAATTGAACTTAATATTAAATGTTACGCTTCAGTTATACACAATAATAGTATATAGGTTAAAGGAAATTTATAAAAAATTCGATTTGATTATTATTGTAATACAAATTCATAATACATAATAGGTACTGGGTATTAAATTTATTCCTCTTCGTATATTACACTTAACAATTCTAAGGGTATTTTACTTAACATTGAACAAAAAATTGAACAAAATGTATATTTATTTTGCATAATGTTTGTGTTGAAAATTGTGTAGATTAATTATTTTCGATATTAATTATATTTTGAATCTATAAAAATTAGGTTGTATCAATAGTTATATCAATATTATTTTACTTATCAAATGTAGAAATACATTTTACTTTATTCAAGGTACATGATACATATTTCAATTTACTTGAATAGGTATGCATCTAAATTTATTCATCTTAACTTAATTTGATATTTATGTGTTTTTTAAGTAGATGATAAAAAATTAATAATTATATCATATTGATTCGACAAGCTTCTTAATTTTTTTTTTCTTGTCAAACCCTAATTACTAAAGAAGTGAGGTGTGTATGTGGTTTTTAATAATTTACTTTCATTAACTACTTTAATTTCTTTGAATATCGATACATAAGAAAATGTGTGGTTTTTCAAATACTATAATGACAGATTTTTAATTTTTTGAACTATTTTATGAAATTCTAAAAATTACAGAGGAAAGTTATATCTATAGGAATACATTTTTTTTTTGGAAAACAGTTTCTATTTCAATATTTTTCGGGTCTAAATTTTGTATTTAGATTACAAATCGAACATAACATTATTTTGTATTAATACAAAAAAAGAAATTTTAGAAATAATTTTTGAAAAATTCACAAAAAACATTAATAATATTACAAAATCTTGTGAAATAACTACCGAATTTATATATAAAACCTTGACCGTTTTTGCGATTTGTAGAATTATAAAAGACCCGAATGAAAATAGTTTTAAAACTTCCTATACTTATTATTATAATTTCTTAAATACAAATCTGCCGAATTATAATATTTGCTAAGTTCACTACTGCTTTACATTTTTAGATAATAATACAAATATTTAGCTTAATATCCAATTCTAGGTATCACGTTCGTACCTTTTTGATAGTCTTAAGTCAAATTAATTTCAACTTTAGATCAGATTCAATAGATTAATTAAGTTATTTGTCCGCGTTTATATGTCATTAACTCAACAACTAATTCCCACAACTAATCAACTTAAAACCTTCACAGCACCGAGTGCATATTATACACATTCCTATCTCGCAGCCAAATTAAAAGTCTGAGATTCAGTTTACTAATTTAATGAAAGTTGGAACGAAAGTCAAGCCGAGAAGGTTTAATTTGACATGCATCTGTTGTATATTATCAATGTAATAATCACAGCAATTGCGCATAGCCAAAGGTCTGCAAAAAGCTGATACAGTAACAATTTTATACGAAAATGACAAGTAAATTATTCCTGGCCGAATATTTTAAAGAATATTTGTCAGAACAAAAATATAAACACGTTTAAAATCTTCAATGAACCTTGACAGTTTAAAATTTAAACTTTAAATAAAGTGTGGTTTGTTGTATCAAATAAAACGGGTCATGTTGTTTTTGAGTAAATAAAGTAGTTTTCACATAATAAATATTATATAATCATTACATCGATACCTAATTAAACATCGGAATTTTTTTTTTGAAGTCTGGTAATATTGTTCACAATCTCTTTTCGTTACTCTCACTTGCTTTCTTTCTTTTCGTCATCTCTGGTCCTTGGAATTTGTTTTATTTGAAAAAGTATTAAAACAATGTTAACAATTAGTTTTTTTTAATAAAGTTACGCTACAGTTCGTTTTGGTATACAACTCTATACACCAAAAAACTAGTTTTTACGCTAAATTACTGACGGTATTTGACTCATGTTATATACTGTGTAAGGACACTTCTCTTCAAAGACAAAAAAGTGAATTACGATTGTAAGATGCGGGAGTCTTATATATTAAAAACCCATATAAAGTTCATTCCTTAAAGAAAATAAATATAATTTGCCAGTATTTTCGATGTCATTATCAAAATCAATTTTATAACTAGAGAAATTATTTTAAAGATGGGCGTTAAAATATGAATTGAAGCGTGGATAATATGAAATGTTTTCATGGCTAGTGAAAAAATTCCTTGACAATTATAATAATATCACACTTAAAGGTGTTGGGATAAAAAAACTTATTTTAATTATGTTTTCATACTTTGAATTATTGTATATAACCTACTTTTGAACTTAAATAAATTTCGTAATTTGTGAAATTTAATTTTCATCGTCGTTTACACGAATATAGCATTCTCAAAATACATAAGACGTTTCCCATTTAATCAACTATGTTAACATTTAACATACTAATAAGTTTACAATACTTGTCATTCTTATGTACGGTAGTCAGTGAATAATCACAGCTTTAAGTAAACGGTAAAAATATTAAAGGTGCATTTTTTCATTAAACAGTTAAAATGATTACTCTTATGATTGGCTTTCTTAATATTCTAGACAATATATTTCTGATTTAAACACATAAGGACGAATACCAATCTTAACGATGTTGGATTTACGTTGAGTTTAAACATCCGTTGAAGCGTCCTTTTATCAAAACGATAGAAACATAGATGAGTTGTAACTCGGGTAAAACATATATTCTATTATTTTACTTTCCAAACAAAACCTTGAAATAAGATATTATAATATATTATTAATGTATATTAACATCATTATAATATGATAATAATATGACATGGGTAATATTTAGCTAATAAATGATTTAATAATAGGAATTTATAAGAGACTTAAAGTTTCGTTTTTCATATTTTTTTTTAATTGTACATAACTCGCATATATTTCCTCTCATTTTATAAAATTAATTATTTCAGAATCAATCATTATGAAATGTCATTCAACATTGTTAGTATAAAAAAAAAATTACTGAAAACCAACGATAATTAATTTTATTTTATAACCGTAAATATTTTTCGTCCATGTATTGTTGAGTCTTGTAAAATAATTCAACTTTACACGTTACTCTAGGACACACTAAAAATAATTCATAAATAATAACACAATGGACATGCGTTGTAGTGATAATTCAAAAATAATTAATTCACGAAAAAATTACACCGCCGCCTTTTAAGTGGCACTTAAATTACAATACAAACTACTGTCCATTCACACGCGAACTTTCATTATTTGCTGGCATTCAGAGCACACAAAGACCTATTCCATGCACTCGATAATGGACCGAATGCTATTTTTTTTATATATATATATATTATTATTTTAGAACAATGGAGAGACTGTATTATAACTGACATTATGTTCAAAAATCGATCGAATATTATTTATATTATTATGACTTTGTTGTTTCTAGCCGCTGATGTCTGTGCGTGAATGTGTTTTTGTGCGGATACCCAACAATGCCAGTCGATGGAATGCATTCCGTATGCATAAAGGATTCATGTATTATTATCTGTACATGCATATAAATAACTCATAGTTATACACGCGATAATATACAGTAAACATATGTATAACAAGTCCAATGAAACGAGTATATTATGATGATATTTCTTCTGAAATCGGTATTGAATATCAAATTATATTTTTGTTTTGTCAACGATTATGTCGTTGGTAAATCGCCCAGTACCCATAGTTATATGCCGATATTTTAAGGTTCTACTAACTAGATTCTATGGCTAATCACTGTAATAGCTTATAGTTTTAAAATAAAGAAAAATTGTATGATATTATGTTTATAGAACAGCATAATTTAATTAATACTTGTTGCCATATTATTTGTGATAAACTGAAACTGGAAAAATATTAATTGGAGAAATTTCACTACTCATACTCCCCTGTATTCGTCACCAATTGTGCAAAAATATAATCTATCGTAGTATCTTAAAATTAACATAAATTGTATACTATATTTAATGTTAAAAATACTCACCCTCGACGAGACAAAAACAGGCGTCGTCATCTGAAAACAAAAATAAATTAATCATAAATGTTAAAGAATAAACATCAGCTTACATTATATGTACGTCATACAAAATAAATAAATGAAATTTAAGAAAGTTGTTAAAGAAATATAAACCAAAAATGCAGAGTAAGACGCTGAAAAAAGATTAAAGTTAACAGTCCCATCAAGTAATTGTTTAATGAATAAAAAAAATTATGATAATCATGAATTACAAAAAAAATTCTACTTTTTAGATCAATATTTTCCAAAATAACAAATTTCTACGGCGTCATTCCTTCGCTTGAAATGAATTATTTTTGAAATGCAATTTATTTTATATCAGATTAAAAACTTTAAATATGGTAAACCACGACAAGATGGTTGTACTTAATATATTGTGTGTTTGCATATAACTACAAGAAAGTAAAAAATAAAAATAAATCATTCAATTTATGATTACATTAAAACTTCGATGAAAAAAATAAAAAAATAAAAAATCTTTAAATATTTTATTTGTCTTGCACAATAACAATATTACTGTGTTAAACATTTTAATAATTTAAATCGTGGACTAGATAAACAAATGAGCGAACTTTTGTCAGCGAAAGCTTAATATAATGAACATATTATACGCATCCGATGAGACATATACATATGTATATACCCAAATATATACTATATACAGCATATATAATTATATATTATATATACGTTTTATATTATATATTATAATGTACATAAATATTTATCGAGTCTTATATACTGGTAATAGGTAGTATGTTTTTTAGATTCTGAGCGCACTGAGGGAGCTATTGATTTTACAATGATGTCATATTTTTTTTTCTGTATCTAGCGACTATTTAGGAGAGTAAAATACCTCAATAAGTTTTATTTAGCACCACTGCTGTATATGGGGTGTTGAACACTGATTGTACTTTACAAACAAGTCATTTTTAGAATTCCCCAGTAGTTTTCGAGAAAATTGTTAAAAAAAGAAGAATGAAATGTAAGTAAACACCAGTTTCCTACAAAGTCATGAAATTTTTGGGTAGGAACATTGATCTCCAGTTACAATCTCAATGGTTTTATATTGCTTTGGACAGATATCTAACTTCTACATTACATTCAACTTGTGTATTCATCGCAATTTATATAGGTTGCACAATTATAGCTTACTTCAGAATTTTTACCACCCACACATGTTAACAGCCTGTATTTCAACTTTAGGTCGTCACATATTTTTACCGAGGAAATTTCGTAGTTCTCTGTTAGCAATCTAATTGAATGCAAATGAAAATGAAAAAAAGTATATTTTAATAGTATAAGAACTTGAGGTTTTAGCGCCCTTAACAATTTTGGACACGCATAATAATATAATACATAGCTAATGTATAGGCGCATCTTATTTTTTTCATGAAAACCACAGCAATTATAGTAATACATACGACTGACAAATCGTATAATACAACATTTGTATTTGAATAGAAATATTTGAATTGTTACCATAGAACACTTGGGAATATAAATTTGTAGCATTTATGAATAATACATTTTTCTCAATCCTACAAATTATCAATTATTTAAGTTCGATGGCTATAATATGTGTTTATTACAAATAAAATATTAGGTTCATTCTGATCAGATGTGGTGCATATCAAGTAATGCAATCTAAACCGAATACTATCTGAGTACTCAATATAAGCAAATAACGGTGTTATATCGCAATTTTTTTATCTCGCCAATCCGTACATGGTACATGGATTGAACCCTATCCTTTTTTTTTTTAATAATACCAACGAAATAGTTTAACCTCGATTTTTAAGTAATATTTGCTTACGTTTTTTTCAGAATTTAAACCAAATAGAATACTTATTTTATTATAGCAAGCAACGTTCCTTTTATTTAAATTAAAGTTACAATATCGTAGCAGCCATGCTTATGATAGAGTACTTGACATTAAAAAAATACAAAAATCTGTTTGTTTTTAATATTATTGGCTTTGCTGTCTTTAATAAATCATGTTCAATATTTACGATACTTTACCGTTTACCTACCTATCTATAATTATATTACTTTACTAAAACTATATCATATTTTGTATTATTTGGTCGATATAGTCACATTAATGCATTACCAAATCACCTATAACATGCAATAATAATATCAAATTAGTATTGTAGATTTTAATAAGTAATACATCCAAGCTTAAATGAAGTATTAAATAGTTCTGATGTAAGTGCATACTTTTAGTAAATTACAACATTTAAATAAAATACTGAAATAAAATATGGAGCATAAACAATGAGGAAGTTAAAAATATAATATAATGTGATCTATAAATGTTTGTGCATAAAAACAAAAAAATATATAAATAAGTAAAAATATATTAAGAAATTTCGTCTTGTTATTTCAACGAATTTATTATTTAAAATACGAGAGATATTATGGCTATAATCTATACCAACCAACCATATTTTTTTTAAATATAGTAATGTGATGCTTGATACTTTAAGCCCAATGTATATAGCAGTTTCGTTTTAATGAAGTACTTCATTGGAATAATTTTACCACATTTACATTTCACCACCATAATAGTATAATAAAAAGGCATCTCTTTTTGAGATTTTACCTTTAGATTTAGTTGTAGTGTAAAATATAAAATATTTGTTATTCGTATATAGATAGGTGCATATAAACATATATAAATCACTGATAAAATTCTGATGGATTATAAGTGGCATAAAAATTTATCAATGCAACGTTTTTTTAAAAATATTTTTGGTTTCACAAAGTTAAAACACAGTCTTAATAATTATTAAAACTATGGTGTTTGGATAAGTGTTTGGTCGTTTGGTGATGAAAAAATTGTAAAAAATAATATTTTGTATTCTACTCATGTATTTGCTGTATTGAGGGCAAATATATTTTAATATGTTTTGTTTTATAACATAAAGTCGATAAATTGCATAGTCTTACATTTAAACTATAATATTATATATTATGTCGTATTATATTATCTATAAGACTACAACTAACAAACAACAATATAGTTTGCTTAAATATTTACACATCATATACATAATGTACATACTAAACGTAATTTATGTTTCTAAAATAGGTTTGAAAAAAACATGGAAGACATTTTTATTATGTCAAGGTCTTATAAAAATCTATCATATCATTTGCACAGCAAAATATAAGTACTATTTATGCTGTAAACAAACTTAATAAAGTATCGTCAATGCATCATAAATATGTTTGTGTCATTTTGATTATAACAATAGAAAAAAATAGAATGAAAAAAATCAAATGACGAAAAACTATTACAATGGAGTTGTATTATAAAATAATAGTTATTATGTACCTACATAAAAAAAAAAATAATAATACTCGTGTAAATGAATCGTTTTTAAATAAACTTTTGAATAGTCAATCATTGGAGTTATACTAACACTAGAAAACCACGTTTGTACCTAATTGTATGTATTTATTTTACTCATTCAGTGTATAGATATGGCCATAGTATATACATATATATATATAAGTTATGCAACCTATACGGTTATACTGACTACTATCTTTTAGATGTACATGATTTAATTAATTTCAATCAATTGGAGATTGCAGTATTGTAAATTTATCGAAACAATTACCATTTTTTTTTTTTTTTAACTAAAAAGTCTAAACGCTGACAGAACACCAATCATTATTAGGCATTATATCGGTAAAAAAAATTTGTTTTTCAGTGAAAAAAATATATATACCATTTATTGGTCCCGAGAAACGCATTTCATAAACGAATCGGATGGTGCTGTAATATTATGCTTACGCGTTTAGCGAAACGGTAACCTTTCAAATACCTACACGAATATTGTGATTTTAAAACCCATCTTTACAGTCTATGATATTATACAAACACTGAATATGACGTTTCTTGGTTTATAAACCGACGGGGGTGGTAATTGTTTTTATTAAATCAATATTCAATAACGATCATAATCGCCACCAGATTTTCCAAAGGGACTTCCAGGAAAGACATTTTAGTAATTTAATATTTTTTTTTATGCTAAATGGGGTTTTGTATTCAACATTTTGGTGTATGATAAATTATACATGCAATCCTTATAAAGTATAATGAAAATATCGTTTACCGATTCACACCTTACTTAAAAAATGTAAATGCTTACTTATACAAAAAAAAAACCATTCTTAATTTATACATCATCATTTTCATAAAATATTTTACTTAGTCGTATTAAATTAGAATAATATTTATGGTTTAAAGAAAGTAAAATTCTACATAAAAATGACCATGATATTATAACAAATAGTCTTATTGTGAAAAAATACGGTATGGCAATTCTTTAAATTGAATGGGTGTGATACCTAATTACTTATAATAATTTGTTGTTTTTCTTTTAAAGTCACCTTGTTTAATTTTCCTGGAAAATGCTTGATTCGTGCAATTCAATATCAATATTCCAAGCAATATAAATTAATATTGATATTAAACTATATCACTATGATACCACCGATGTGGTAAAACTGAATTCCCTGATGATATTTAATAAAATTACTTAAGTCACTAAGTAAAGTATATCGTCACATTTGTGTACCTAAATAATTATACTAAAACGACAAACTTCAATAATAATAATGATAATAAATAATAATACAATTAAATAACTAATAATTTGTAAGTATAAAAATTAACAGCACAGCTGACCACGGCGATAATGCTCCAGTAACCAAAGTCGACCCATAACATGTAAATGGTATAAATGTATCTTTACAGTTTATATTATATTCATTCGGCTATCCATGTGAATAAACCACTTATTCTTCTTAAGGGTATACTTGGTTTGCCTTTCGGACCATTATTAGTAGAACTAAACCTTTTTTTTTCTTGAAACTACCTTTCGTTAAATATTAAAATATATAATGATTTTTAAATTTAAATTGTATGTTTTGTTTATTCAATTTTTATTCAAATATATTTATTTATTTATTAAAGCAAT